GGAAGGGTTTCATTGATGGCCGCGCCGCACAGAGGCTGCAAGACACCAGCAGCTATGCCAAAATCCTAACATGCCCCAAAACCAAATTAAAAATATCCTATAAGGATGCCATAAATCGCTCCATGGTAGAAGATATCACTGGGCTGCGCCTTCTGGAAGCCGCCTCCGTGTCGTCCAAGGGCCTACCCAGCCCTTACAACATGTCTTCGGCTCCGGGCTCCCGCTCCGGCTCCCGCTCTGGATCTCGCTCCGGATCTCGCTCCGGGTCCCGCAGTGGGTCCCGGAGAGGAAGTTTTGACGCCACAGGGAATTCTTCCTACTCTTACTCCTACTCATTTAGCAGTAGTTCTATTGGGCACTAGTAGTCAGTTGGGAGTGGTTGCTATACCTTGGCTTCATTTATATGAATTGTCAATTTATTAAATAATAAAAAAGAAAATCCCAGTGCTTGCAGTAGAGTGATAGGACGTTCTATGCTTACAGAAAATATAGCCATGATTGAAATCAAATAGTAAAGGCTGTTCTGGCTTTTATCTTCTTAGCTTATCTTAAATAAGTAGTACACTTGGATGCAGTGCGTCTGAAGTGCCAATCAGTTGTAACACAAATTGAACTTAGGATTTGTTTCTTCTCTTCTGTGTTTGGATTTTTGATCAATTCTTTAATTTTGGAAGCCTATAATACAGTTTTCTATGCTTGGAGAAAAAAATTAAATGGATCACTGATATTTTAGTCATTCTGCTTCTCATCTAAATATTTCCATATTCTGTATTAGGAGAAAATTACCCTCCCAGCACCAGCTCCCCTCTCAAACCCCCAACCCAAAACCAAGCATTTTGGAATAAGTCTCCTTAGTTTTAGAGTGTGGATTGTATAACCGATATAGTCTTTGACGTACTTATTTGGTTTGGTGTTAATTTGACTATATGTGCATGACAGCAGCAATCTTTGCTTTTCTTTGGTCAAAGTTTTCTGTTTATTTTGCTTGTCATTTTCGATGTACTTTAAAAAGGTGTCTTTATGAAGTTTGCTATTCTGGCAATAAACTTTTAGACTTTTGAAGTTTTTGTGTTTTATTTTAATATGTTTATAAGCATATGTAAACATTTAGGAGCATATTTTTATCATAGGTCTAAAAACATTTATTAAATACCTATGAATAAATACCATTTAAAAACTAGTTCTGAATTTTTATTAGAAGATAGTCTTTTGAAGTTAGTCCTTTCAGTACTTCTCAGATGCCTGTCATGTACCTAATGGAGTCCTTGGAAAGAAGGCCTGTGTAAAGAGGCCAGCCTGGAGGTCAATACCGTGTTCTAGTTTATTCTGGACATTGAGTACCAAGTAGCATTGGCAAAAGTCACCATCATAGCATTGAAAAAACATGAAGTTGCTAAGATGCTTTTTGGGTATCCTCAAAATAGATAGTGTTTCAGTTTGTCCCGTAAGAGGAAAGACTTATCCTGGAACCCATGAAAATGATTTCTGAAGAGTTCTTGGCTCTCTGTTGAAAGACAAGATAATACAAGCCTGTTCCTTTGGATCAAAGAGAAACTACTGAAATTTACACATTTGTCATTAGATTAACATGACTTCACTGAACACTACCATGTCTAGTATTGGCTTAGTTACTATGAAGATCGAGTAGAATTTACTTTTTTTTTTGAGACGGAGTCTTGCTCTGTCGCCCAGGCTGCAGTGCAGTGGCGCTGTCTCAGCTCACTCAAGCTCCGCCTCCTGGGTTCATGCCATTCTGCCTCAGTCTCCCGAGTAGCTGGGACTACAGGCGCCTACTGCCATGCCCAGCTGATTTTTTATATTTTTAGTAGAGACAGGGTCTCACCCTGTTAGCGAGGATGATCTCGATCTCCTGACCTCGTAATTCCCCCGCCTCAGCCTCCCAAAGTGCTGGGATTACAGGCATGAGCCACCGTGCCTGGCCTGAAGGGAATTTACAAGCCCCCTGACAACAAAGCATTTGCAATATGGGTAGGGACAGAAACAGATAAAGCAATCAGTGGGACAACTTTCAAATGTCAGCAGTATATATTAATACAAATTTTATAGTACAGATAGGAAACAGGAAAAATTATATAGAACAAAAAAGATCATTAAGATTAGATAAATTATTTGGGGCTTTTGGTACTTAGAGTGAAAGTCACCTATATTCTCATTGCATGGGCCATTTTTCCTCCACAGCACTCTTCCTTGTCTCACCTCTTCTTCCTCTTACTCCCTTTCCCAATTTGCAGGAGTTGAAACTAATTTTATGCATTAAATACTGAGTTCGTGTGCCATGCATTGTGCCAGAAGCCATGGAGTCTGTGCTAGAAATACATGGTGCAAAAGTAGCCCTCATAATCCAAAAGGAAGAAGAAAAATGTGGTAAATGTTGTATTGGGAAAAATGAAGGAAATCTCTTATGTTAGAGCTGGGAGACCGTATTAGTCACCTCACCCTGCCATAACAAGATGCCACAGACTGAGTGGCTTAAACGGAAGTATATTTTCTCACAGTTCTGGAAGCTAAAAGTACATGATCAAGGTGCAGGCAGGGTTGGTTTCTAGTGAGACTTGGCTCATGGGTGGCTATCAGTCTTATCTGATTAGAGTACCCCGTCCTCTATGACCTCATTTAACCTTAATTACCTCTTAGGGCCCTATCTCCTTATATAGTCACACTGTGGGTTAGTACTTAAACATATGCATTTTTGAGGGACCCAATCCAATACATAACAGAGGCCAGGAGTCTGGACACCACTCCAGGAAAGTGATAATCAAAACAGGTCAGCAGCGTCAGTGTAGAGCAGTTCCTCAGGCTGAAACAGTAACTAGAGAGTAGAGTCAACTGACAAATCTTTCCTACTCCCTCCAGGCTTCTGCCAAAGTTGTCATGAAGCACTGAGATGACATGGGGCTGTATCCTGAAGAGAGGATATGTTTGATGTGGGCTAAGTTTTAATTTGGTTCACGTATACAAACAGGGAAATATACACTAGAACTTTTTATCAGGAGTCATGTCACATCAGAAATAGTCTCACATTTTTTCAGACCAACTGGTTAACTATGGAAATGCAAATAAAAAGTAAGGATACCGGGCTGGGCACAGTGGCTCAGGTCTGTAATCCCAGTACTTTGGCAGGCCGAGGCGGGCGGATCACAAGGTCAGGAGTTCAAGACCAGCCTGGCCAATATGATGAAACCCCATCTCTACTAAAAATACAAAAATTAGCCAGGCGTGGTGGCATGTGCCTGTAGTCCCAGCTACTCAGGGGGCTGTGGCAGAAGAATTGCTTGAACCTGGGAAGTGGAGGTTGCAGTGAGCTGAGAGTGTGCCACTGCATTCCATCCTAGGTGACAGAGCCAGACTCCATCTAAAAAAAAAAAAAAAAAAAAAAAAAAAGCTAAGGATACCATAGGCAGAGTATGAATACATTAACTTCATACTCCCCTCTCTTACCAGCTTCTAGACACTTCTGTATTTTATGGTGCTGCCTATTTATAGTGTTATGACCATTTTTTTAAAGTGAGAACTGTGCTGTTTACCTTTAGAAATAATTGCTCACCAGAAAATTCCTCCACAGTTCCTTCACAGGGGTAAACAAAGTGCAAAAGGAAACCGAGGTTTGATACTCGGACTTGAAAAAATTTTAAAAAGTAATATAAAATTGGTTAGATTTTGGGAGTTAAAACCATTTGGGGAAACTACAAGGGCTAATTCCAGGTCTTGGGTAGGAAATGTACAAAGTTAAGCTTGTGTTATCAAAGCAAGAAAGCATTCAAGGACTAATAGGGATACGTCAAAGACACAGATGGCTTAATGTGGCTTCCACTGGCCACATTTGGGACAATTTGAGCATCAACAAGAATTACGATGTTAAAGGAGTATATTATATTGAATTAAAAAAAAACCTTTAAATCAATAACTTTAAAAACACCTTGATTCCCATAGTGAAGAAAACACTAAAATGGAGGTGTGTAAAGAACGCCAGTTAACAAACACAGAAGGCATGATACTATTACAGAATCATTTATAACTCCTATTGTAACAACAGAGTCAGTGAAGGACTGTATAAAGTAGTTGGGGAACAGGGTATTCATATGGCCTCAAGCTATAATCTACAGATTGCTTACCAATTCCGAAGGGGAAAATGGGGAAAATGTACTATTAGAATGAAGAGATGTAGCCACCATCTTTACCAAGTGATCAAAGTTAGCATTACTAATATAATTGAGTTATGTGTCCCTGTGGGTTGGCAACACCTCTTAGGTAGTATTCTTGCTAAAGTGCTCGATCTGAATCTAATCATGAGGGAAACAAAATCTGACAAATCCAGAATGAGGGATATTCTACAAGACAACTGGCCTAGGCTCATCACAACATTTAATGATTTAATTTTAAAAAGAGGGTGAAGGAGGCTGATCTGGATTAAAAGAGACAATAACTAATAATAGCTTATGGGTTGAAAAAATAAAACTGCTATAGAAATAATTTTGGGGACAATGGGGAAATTTGAATATGAACTGTATAATAAATGATTTTATGGAATTACTAATTTTCTTAGGTTTGATCATGTATTGCGGTTACACAGGAAAATGTTCGTGTTCTTGGAAGAAGCATGTTAACATATTTGGGGGTGAAGAATCTGCAACTTACTTTCAAAGAATTCAGCAAAAATCATTGGGTGGGGCTGTGAATGTGGAGAGAAGAGATGGAGAGAAATCAAACGTGGCAAAATGTTAACGAGCTGAAGGACAGCTAAACGACAGCTCATTGTACTATTTTTAAAACTTTTCTGTAGCTATAAACCGTTTTTCCTGAGAAAGTCGAGGAGCGTGAACGTCTTTCAGGAAAGACCAGCGCAACTGCACCCAAAAGCTGAGAGGAGATTGGAAAACGCCTCTCAAAATAACAGTCCCGCCCTTCCCGGGGCTCTTCCCTACAGGCTGTTGCAGTCACGTGGTGGCTGTGGCCCCGCCCACAGCTCCCAGAGGCCCGCGCGCGCCGTCTGCAGTTCGGTCGCTTCCTCTTTGCGGGTGGGCTGCAGCCATGGAGGGTGAGCCTCCACCTGTGGAGGAGCGGCGGCGGCTGCAGGAGGAGCTGAGCGAGTTCGTGGAGAGCTGCTGCCGGACGCTGGAGGAGGTGACGGCGTCCCTGGGCTGGGACCTGGATAGTCTGGATCCCGGGGAAGAGGAGGCGACGGAGGTGAGGGGCGCGGCCACTGGGCCCTTTCGGGGACTATCGGCCCGCGGTCTTCTCTGGAAGAAGGGAGATCCGCACTGGCAGCCGCGGAGGGAAGGGCGAGGAGTCCTCGTCCGTGTGCAGAGCCGCGATGGGCGCCCGGGACCCGAGAGGTGCCGCGGGCCCTGGAGCAACTCTGACCTCCCTGAGTCCTGGGCTCGGGCGCGCGAGGGCCTCCCGAAGGCTCCACGCCGACCTCCGGTGCGGCGCTCCTCCCGCGGAACTTCGAGCTTAAAGAAAATGGGGGGCCGGGCGCGGTGGCTTACACCTGTAATCCCAGCACTTGGAGAGGCCAAGGCGGGAGGATCCCATGAGCCCAGGAGTTCGAGACTAGCCTGGGCAATATGGTGAAACCTCTTCCTACCAAAAATACAAAAATTAGCCGAGTGTGATGGTGTGAGCCTGTGGCCCCAGCTATTTGGGAGGCTGGAGTGGGAGGATCGCTTGAGCCCAGGAGGTCGAGGGTGCGGTGAGCCGAGATCGCTCCGCTGCATTCCAGCCTGGGCGATAGAGCAAGACCCTGTCTCAAAACACAAACAAACAAAATTCCGGAAGATGTGTTGAGTGAGGAGGGAAGGGCAGATTTGGTATTTATTTAGAAAGTAAGTGAATGGGTCTCAGAGTGCTGCAGAGGGATTGGCGGTTTGCATTGTCATCTGTCATATGGATTCCGCAGTTGCACCAGATTCGGTGTCAGGAGAGCTGGGAGTGTGCCGGTTCGCCTTTCTATACCTTAAAATTGGACACTTCTTACTGGGACAGCACCGATTCTAGGATTATTAAAGGATGTCACCAAGAGATGGTAACTGGCAACTCCCGTGGACATTAGCATTGCTTTTTTTTTAAAATGTAGGCAAGTGTATTTAGAGTGAACAATGGTGATTTTTGTTTTTTGTGGGGTGTTTTTTGGTGGAGTGAGAGGAAGGGAAGTGCTCCAATGTGGGGTAATTCATTATCTTTAATATTACTTCTGGGTTTACCATGCTGTAATAATTTCTCCTGGGTTGAAGTTACTGATTCCTGAGACATTTAAAATATATTTGATTTCTGTATATACCATTCATTATTTATTGTATTAAAAGCACAGAAGAAGTTAAAAGATCTTTATTGTTCATTTAGAGGGGTATTTGAAGCTGGGAATTCCATTGAGTGGGACTTACCAGACCTTTCCATACATTGTTTACTCAGCATTGGAGTAACATTGGATTCCTTGTATTAACATTTAAGTAGCACTTTGTGCCACTTACAATACATTACTTCATTTAATACTCAAAATAACCCTGTGAGGTAGGTATTGTTGACCACATTTTATAGACAAGGAAAGGGACACAGAGGTAATAATTTGTCCAAGGATACACTGCTAGTAAATGGCAATTAGGATTTCCTCCGGTGTTTTAGTACTAAAATTTAGTGAACAACAGTTACAGTTCCTGGTCCTCACAGAGCTTATTGTCTGGTGGTGGTGAGGGGGAATACGGAGAACTCAACCGTTATATTATCATGGGTCTATGATGGGTGGGGTTGGAATTGCTATAGTACAGTTTATTATAGGCTGTGGTGGACAAAGTGGTGGTCAACAAAGGCTTCCTGAACAAAGTGAATTCTAAGCTGGTAAATAAAAGTCATCTGAATTAACTAGGGGATTGGGGAGTGAGAAGAAACATCAACAGCATGTGTAGAAGTTCAGAGACGAGGGAGTAACCATATCAGGAAGCAAGTAGTTAAGGATAGCTAGAGTGTAGAGTTACGGCAGAACGATGGTGGGGGGTAGAGGTCAGATCTTAAATGTCCTTGTTAGCCATATTAGAAAGTCTAGATTTTTTTTTTAATGAAGGCAGTGGGGAGGCATGGAAGTATTTTAAGCCAGGGCATATCATAATCATATTTACCTTTGAATAAAATAATAATATACATTTATTGAATGCTTGCTATGTACCAGGCCCTATTTGAATTCCTTTATGTGTATAAACTTTGGTATACTTTTTTAAATCTTCACAATCACTTTTTGAGAGAAGTCCTGCTATTATTTTCATTTTATATAATAGATAAGGAAAATGAGGCAAAGAGAAATTAAGTACCTCACCCAATTTCATGCAGCCAGTAAGTGGCAGAGCTGGAATTCAGACCAGCTACAGGATGGAAAATGAAGGGGAGGGCAGCAAGACTGGAAACAGAGAGAGAAAGCCAGCGTAGTCAGGAGATGGCTGTTGTATTCCTGCAGAGAGTTGATGATCCCTGAATTGGGGAAGTGGCAGTGGGGATGGAGGATGTTGAGGGATTTTCAGAAATATTCAGGAGTTAAATTGGCAGGGCTAGGTGATTGATTGGATATGGGTGATGAAGGAGAAGACGTGGTTTCTTGCTTGAGCAAGTGGGACCTTTCACTGAAATGGAAAGTACAAGAGGAGTAGGTTTGAGGGTTAGGAGACGATGAGTAGAATGAATTTATTTTTGTTTGTGTTGAACTTTTAGTGTCTTTAGTATACGGTACTGGACAGAAACAAGGTTTAAAGATATAAATTTTGGGAGTCCTCACTGTATAGTGAGAGTTGCAGCCTTGAGATCTTTCTTTCAGTAAGCAGATACTAAATAGCAAAAGGTCAGTGGTTATATTAATTTATGAAAACCAACATCTAAAGGGGGACAAATAGAGCAAGGTAGACAGATATTTAGAGGAGACCAAATAGAAGAAGCCAGAGAGGTAGAAAGAACATGAGGGGTGTGTCTGAATGACAAATGAACAATTGGAGTGCGACCTTCCAAGAGTTCGGATATGACAAGACAGTGACATGTTCTTTGGCTTTAGTAGCAAGGTTGTTAGTGACCTATTGACTGGTTTCAGTGGGGTGATGGTGGCAGTGAGTGAGGAATGGTTATAGGTGAGGTTGTTTAGACAGTGAGTGTAAATACACATTTCAAAGAGTTAGGCTTTGAAGGAGTGGACAGAGGACAGGGGCGTTTAGGGAGTTAGGGGTTGAAGGAGTTTTGTTTTTCTTTAACACACACCCACATGGGGGTTGAGAGAGGCCTGTAGAAGAGGATGCACTAGACAGTACTGGTACATAATTAAATGGTAAACATTTAATGGTAATAATTATTTATTTTAACATTATGTACCGATTTTCTTTGTTTCTGTTTGATTTTTATAGGATGAAGTTGTGTTATGTCCTTACGATTCCAATCATCACATGCCTAAATCGTCTTTAGCAAAGCACATGGCATCTTGTAGATTGAGGAAAATGGGCTATACCAAAGAAGAAGAGGTACCATATATTTATTATTTTATAGTAAAATATATATGTATATGTCATGCATTTCATGCCTTAATTCACAATTTTTGGAAGTTATATTGTGAGGCTCACCAACATGAAATAATAGCCCTTACTTGAAGGGTAGGATGGTACTTGTCTAATTTCACAAATTATTGTGAGAAATAATTAAGTGATACTAATCTATTGTTTATGTCAAGTCTTAAAATAGTCAATTATCTGATACTTAAGAACACTAAGATTTTTTTTTTTCAGGATGAAATGTATAATCCTGAGTTTTTCTATGAGAATGTGAAGATACCTTCAATTACTTTGAGTAAGTATTAAGTTATTATAATTTTAAAATATATTAGTGTAGATACTGATTTTTCATTTTTGCATTATCAAAAGAATGGATTTTACAAGCATGCTTACGATTAAGAAGGACATTTAGTATCTTAAAAGAATGTAGAATTAATTAATGTACAAGGCAACTAATTCACATAATCTGAAATTTAGAGACCAGGCTTGTATTAATAGGCAGTGAAAACCTTACAAAGCTTTGTGTAGTAGAGCAGACACCTTCCTTCTCAGTTACAACAAAAATTTGAGCATGTGACAGAGATTGAAGGATGAGACTGAAGATGGACATGTGTTCCAGGGATTCACAGCATATATAGAGGTTAAAGGCTTGGGCTCTTGAAAGAGAATGTCCAGATTCAACTCCTATTTTTATCATGAACAGATGTGACTTTCAGCGAGGTAATTAACCTGTTTGTTGCCTAAATTTCATTATAAAATGGAGATGGTTATAATAGCACTTTGCGAGGATTAAGTGATATATATAATATTCTTAGAATAGTGTCAGGCACTTAGCTGGAGTCAGCTAAAGGGTCACAGAGTTGTGACCATTACAGCACAGGCTTCGAGAATGTTAGCTGTTATTGGTCAGTAAAATTTGTCGCTGCTACTGCTGCATGCCTAATTATAGGCATGAACTGCTTGAAGTCTGATTACTTACTGGGCTGTAGATAAATCTGAAAGGATTCTGTGTTCAGATTTCATAGACAGGGATGTGGATGTTTCTTAAGATTCTGGAAAGTTTGTCCACGTGCCCAAAGGGCTTGGATCAGAAACCAGTTAATTATTTAATTGTGGTCACTGATGATTCATATTGTATTTATGGATTTTTTTTTTTTTTTTTTTTTTTGACAGATAAGGACTCACAATTCCAGATAATTAAACAAGCTAGAACTGCAGTTGGGAAAGACAGTGATTGTTATAATCAAAGTAAGTGGCATTACAGTTTAAGTGAATTAATGAATCAAATTATTATTTTTCTCATAAACATGTTACTAATTTCAAGAAAAACCTGTGAAAACTGTTACATGGGAAAGGTTAAGTTTTACATTTAACATTAGGCTAATTTGCTTCATTTCACCATCATTTGTTAGATGTTTCCTGTTGAGATACACTAGAGTCTCACTAGGACACTGTCTTAGCTAGGGGTTCATCCTTTGGAATAACCTGGTGATTTATAGGTGAGATTGTCTTGTGGCTAATATAAAAAACTGTTATTTAGTAAATACAGATGATCCCAACTTAATGATGATTTGATTTAGGATTTTTTCAATTTTATGATGGTGTGAAAACAATACACAATCACAAGGTTTTAGACTTTAAGTACTAGTGATTCTTTTATCAGACTCTGGGCTGCATTTTCAACTTAACTGTATAAAGTTTATGATGGGTTTATCGGGATGTAACCCCATGTAAGTCAAGGAACATCTATAAATGCCACTGAGTGAGACTCTTTCACCCTGAGATTTCCTCTCTTTAGAGTATTGAAATGCAATGTAAAGAAAAGGCTTAGACTGAAAGAGATTAGTCTCCACAGGTACCCTCAGATTGCTACACAGTAAGTGAGTTGGTTTGAAGTGATAAATGCTTGGGATCCCCTTCTCAGAAAAAAAGTACAAACACAAAAGTTTTACATATAATTTCAGAGGATTCATATTAATAGATCCTTTCATGCCCACCTTTAGAGCTGGGTTAGAGTTTCTCCCTGGGAACTTCAGCAGAGAATAGGTTAGAAGTTTTAAGCATAAGCTTTTAGGAAATTGAAAGAAAACTTAATCCATCAAAAACAGAGACATAGGCCAGACACGGTGGCTCACACCTGTCATCCCAGCACTTTGGGAGGCTGAGGCGAGTGGATCACCTGAGGTCAGGAGTTCAAGACCACCCTGGCCAACATGGCGAAACACTAAAAAATACAAAAATTAGCTGGGCATGGTGGCAAGTGCCTGTAATCCCAGCTACTCGAGAGACCGAGGCAGGAAGAATTGCTGGAACCCAGGAGGCGGAGGTTTCAGTGAGCCCAGATCGCACCATTGCACTCCAGCGTGGGCAACAGAGCGAAACTCCATCTCAAAAACAAACCAACAAACAAACACATAGACAAACGAGTTAATAAAAGTTTAAATTTCTAATGAATGTAGATATGATATGACATCTAGCCAAAACCTGAGTGGCTTCTCTTACAAGGATTTTTATTTCTGCATTGTCTTCTTTGAACCTTCTGTAGGTAGCTTTCTCTGCACAACTTACCTTTTTTTCCTCATTCTTTTTTCTAGCTGAATTATATTTACCAGGCTGTAGTCATGGTTGGTTTTCTCCCTCGTTGAAGTTGAGGATCTTTACCAAATATTGTTTTAAGCCAGTAGCTGGACTTGATTTCTCAGAGTTGCACTGTGGCTACAGAAGGAAGACCATGCTTAGCTGTCTAAATTACATGGGTTCTCTACAACAGCCAGAAGCACATTTCTTGTATTTTTTGTTTTGAGGTTCCTACTTCTGTCCCTGTCAGCAAAATTCCAGATTTTTTTCTTTGAGGGAGACAGTTGACTCTCATTTTATTTATTCGGACAGATTTCTGAGCTATGACTAGACTAGTCAAGCCTTTTTTGGCCTCTGCTATTGGTTCTACTCATATCCCCTGGTAGTGTACCCATAAAAAAGTTGGAGGTTTTTGGTTTTTGAAGAGGTTAATAATACTTAAAGGACTTTGTTTGACTCTTAAGTGGTTAGATTTACTGAATTTATTTTAGAGTTGAAAGAGACCTTGGAGATCATCTAATCCAGTGTCTGCATTTTACAGATAAGAAAAACTATCTGATAGAGACATGATAAAGTTCTAGTGTGTTGGTTCTAAAAGTCCTCCATATTTTTATTTTTTAAAAGGTTATTTTTTAAAGCTCTTTTATGAATTACATTTCTCTTTCACAACGAACTTGTGATAAACTGAACGATATTTTCCCCTCCATGACAGGTGAAGAAACAGACACAAAAAAGTGAAGTAACTCGCCTTTGCTAGATAATAGCAAAGTGGATCCAGAACTAAGTTCTGAATTTTGACACAAACTCTGAACTGAGTTGATTTTCTGTTAGAAACCCTACATTTAGTAAAATTTGTGGACTAGGATTCTAGATATTGCTCAAATTTATTTATCATGTCTTTCATGATTAAGTGGAAGAATATCACAAACTTCGTATCTCTACATACTAATTGTGACTATTGGTGCTGTTAATTGTTAATTCTGCTTTGCGTAAACCTGTTTTAGAGAAGTAAAAGGAGCTGCTTGGCCATGTATTAATGATGACAACTCTGAGTTTTTGTTTCTTTATCTGTAATATAAAACTATTTATAGAGTTGTTGAGAGGAACAGAGATAATGGATGCTAAACAAGCCCTAGCTCCAAAAATTGGTAGCTTCTATGGTCTGAGTGGAAATTAATGTACAGAAAGTAATATTAAGATAATGAAATGGATGAGTTTTATATATATAAGTAATTTAGAAAATGTTCTGCTTTTTAATTTTTATAATGGTAATAAGGGAGATTTGGACATGGAGCTTAGTTCTTTTCAAAAGCAAATAATTACTTCGAATGAACAGTTCTTTTGATAGGTAAGAGGAACTTTGATTTTGAATTCTTACACTATCTTAAATTAAGATGTAATTGTTACCAGTAACTTTTTTTTCTTTTTTTTTTGAGGCTGAGTCTTGCTCTGCCATCCAGGCTGGAGTTTAGTGGCACAATCTCGGCTCACTGCTAGCTCGGCCTCCTGGGTTCACGCCATTCTCCTGCCTCAGGCTACCGAGTAGCAGGGACTGCAGGCACCCGCCACCATACCGGGCTAATTTTTTTGTATTTTTTTAGTAGAGAGGGAGTTTCACCATGTTAGCCAGGATGGTCTCGATTTCCTGACCTCGTGATCCGCCCACCTCAGCTTCCCAAAGTGTTGGGATTACAGGCGTGAGCTACTGCGCCTGGCCAACAGTAACTTTTTATATGATCTTTAACCTTGTTTAAAAATTTTTTTTGGCTGTGCATGGTGGCACATGCCTGTAATCCCAGCACTTTGGGAGGCTGAGGTAGGCAGATCACCTGAGGTCAGGAGTTTGAGACCAGCCTGGCCAACATGGTGAAACCCTGTCTCTACTAAAAATACAAAAATTAGCCAGGCGCTATGGTGCATGCCTGTAATCCAGCTACTCGGGAGGCTGAGGCAGGAGAATCGCTTGAACCTGGGAGGCGGAGGTTGCAGTGAGCCAAGATGGCACCACTGCAGTCTAGTCTGGGCGACAGAGTGAGACTCTGTCTCAAAAAAAAAAAAATTTTGTTTTATGTCCTCTGTAGACTTATGCAATTTCTGAACAGATTATTTTTGTGGCTCATTTATGTCTTAGACATTTTAAGATCTTTTCCCTCAGGACAAGACTTTCTTTAAATATCTTATTGATGTATTTACTTTGAAGGGAGAATGACTCACATGAAAAATTTTACATTTCTCCATCTAATTCATATTTTGTTTGTTACACACTGAAATGTAATTTTTTTGACAAGGTTTTATATGCATGTTTTCATTTCATCTGTCATGTCAGGCCTAAACTCAGTGTATAGAATTCTCAATCTTAAACTTTATGAAAGCTCGAATAGCTATTAGATGTACATACTTATTTTCAGATATAGTTACTTTGGTTAATTTTTTAACCAAGATATTTCAATCATAAACAATCAGTTTATGTTTAGTGGTTTATCTTTTTCCTTCAGTTTAAATATTCAAGTTGTATATTTCAGTATCGTGAAGTGTGTTTGAGTCATGGCCATGATCAGTGTGCTATCAAAGAAACTTTCAAAGACAGGATAGAATGGCTTTAGATCCAGTCTGTTCCTATCACTTGTGAGACTTTGGGCAAGTCATGTTACTTCTATGACCCTTAATTTCTTTATCTGTAGTGTTAGGGAATTGACTCTGAATGAATTCTCCCTAAAATTCTGAATTTGTATCTCTGTGACAACACCTGCTACTACTATTTAATGTTGTATGTTATATGTTTAAGATCTCCTTTGATAACAAAAGTAACTAACAAGAATTAGAATTGGCATTATTAAAACAATAGATAGAGTTTCAATTTGGGGTGATTAAAAAATTCTAGAGGTGGATAGAGGTTGCACAACAATGTGAACGCACTTCATGTCTCTGAACAGTACGCTGAAAACATGGTTAGAATGTTAAATTTTATGTTATATATTTTGCCACAAAAAACCTGCAAAAACAGGCAGCCAAAGGGTCTTAGAGTTATTATAATTACAGCACATTCATATGTACCTTTAAATCATTTAGAAACATGCATTTTGAAAATTTACATTTTATGTAAATGTAAGTTTATTTAAGTATGTTTATCCTTTTTGTTGTCAGAAATATCTATGTTCCGAATGAATTGAATGCAGTTTGTTGCTTAACCTTTCCTGTACTTTTTCTTTTTCAGTAATTGGGGTGAGTATAAAGAGGAATTAGGAACCTGAATGTACTCCTTATTTAAAGATATGCAGTATCCTTTTTGCAAATGATATCCTTTTAAAAGTATCACTCAAATTTCTAAACTTTATCTTAATACCTGTCACATATTATAGTCTTGAATTGGAATTTTGGTTGAATTACAAGGAATTTTAAGTGTCAGTCTTCATCATAAACTTAAGATGAATAAATTGAAGAAAATGCTAAAATAATTTAAGAAGGAAATTATATTTCTTTGTTTAAAAATAACAGGCAAAGGTTTATATGGAGCTTGTTTGTAATACATCATTACTTTCTAATCTTTGTTTTTCTCCCAAATTTTTATAGCCTATATTCAAAGGAATTAGGCTTATCAAAGCTGTTTTTATAATTTTGTATTATAAAATGCCTACTATAATTAGAATAAAATTGACTGACTTGAAAGGAAACCCTTTTTTTTCCATTAATTCAAAACCCTTTGACTAGTAAAAATGGCCATGTATTGTTATCTATAGCGGTGTGAAACCATGGCCTCAGATTCACTGCAGCTCTCCTCTTAATATGTAGACAAGTAGTACCTCTTTTTGTTGTAATGCTTAGTTCATAGTATGCTCTTATTTGAATTCTTTTTGCCTCTACCTAGGAACTTAATGAGGTTAGACTTTATTAAATATAAGTATCTGGAAAGAGCTACTGATATTATGTTGTTCTATGAACCAGTTACTACTTTAGAATAAGTTAGCAAACAATAGAAGGATTCCTTTAGTAGCTCATGTTCTTTGTTTGCATTAGTGAATAATGAAGTCTAGAAAGAATTGTTTTAAATTGCTTTTTTTACAGTTCCAATCATTTTTTTATTTGAGAAAATTTGAATCTCAAAACAAAAATTTTCTTCAATGTTTAATACATCACATCAAGGTATTGTATTTACTTTTTTTCACTAATGAGCAGATTTTAGAAAATTCTGTAATTACCGGGGGGCACTGCTATTAACTTTTTTCAGTTAATTTGGTTAAGCCACTATGCTTCCTCCTCAGGAAATTAAAATGAGTTTAGTTTCAATTTAATCTGTTCTTTTCTGGCCTGAGGAGGTGTGGGATTTCTGCTACTTAATTATTTTTTGGCCCCTAGCTCTAAGTCCTTGCGCAAGTGGGATATATTTTGAATATTGACCATCTAGCTTGATGTCTCATACAAAAGATATTTTTTACACAGTTTTTAATATTTCCATAGTTCATTTTCAAAGGGACTATAATGCGTATTACTTATTAAAAGCCTTTTCTTCCCAACTTTGATGGGGAAAAGCCTATCAACAGATACCTACTTTTGTAGATGGCTATAAAAATTGTTACCCAAAAGGCTTTCTTAGAGCAAACTGTCTTTTATGATTATTCCTGCCTGCCTTCTTGGGATCTGTCTTTATATTGTTGGAGAGAATAGCAAACATCCGTAATACGTTGTGTTTTTTTTGTGGATATAACATTCAGGATAGAATTGTTGTTTGTCATTTATTGCTTAGATTGATATTTTAGATTGGTATTTAGAGATTATGAAAAAGAGTTTGTGTTAATATTGCATTATTAAAGCACATGTTTGAAGATAATTAGTAGATTTTAAGTTCACAGTGCTTCATGTATTGTTTATTCTTGTGATTTTATTTTCACTTTAGGGATTTATTCTTCTTTGCCTGTTGAAGTTCCTCTGAATCACAAACGGTTTGTTTGTGATCTAACTCAAGCTGATCGTCTTGCCCTCTATGATTTCGTAGTTGAGGAGACAAAGAAAAAGCGCTCTGATTCTCAGATTATTGAAAATGACAGCGATCTCTTTGTAGACTTGGCTGCCAAAATCAATCAAGGTTTGAGATGCACATCATAGCTTTACATTTTTTCATTATCATTTTATTCTGTGAGTGTTATTAAGATGATTTAATTGTCGGGCCACTTTGAGTTAGAGTAAAATGGTTTTGTATCATTTAATATTGAAGTGAAGTTGGCCCTCTGTAACTGTGGGTTCCACACCCATCAATTTGACCAACTGTGGATTGAAAATATTTGGAAAAAATAAAAATGGGTGGTTGCCTCTGTACTATACATGTAGAGACTTTTTATTCCTGTCATAATTCTATAAACAATATATTAACAACTATTCATATAGCATTTACATCGTATCAGGTTTTTGGTGGTTTTTTTTATTGTTTTTTTGTTTGTTTGTTTTTTTGAGATGGAGTCTTACTCTGTCGCCCAGGCTGGAGTGCCGTAGCGCTATCTCAGTTTGTTGCAATCTCTGCCTCCCAAGCTCAAGCGATTCTCGTGCCTCAGCCTCCTGAGTAGCTGAGATTACAGACATGTGCCACCATGCCTGGCTAATTTTTGTATTTTTAGTAGAGATGAGGTTTTGCTACATTGGTCAGGCTGGTCTCAAACCCCTGGCCTCAAGTGATCCTCCTGTCTTGGCCTCCCAAAGTGCTGGGATTACAGGCTTGAGCCACTGTACCTGGCCTGTATTAGGTATTGAAAGTAGTTTAGAGATGACTTCAAGTGTACGGGAGGGTATGTGTAGGTTATATATAAATACTGCACCATTTTATATCAGAGACTTGAGCATCCATGGATTTTAGTATCCTTGGGGGTTCCTGAACAAATCCTCCACGGATACTGAGGGATATTTACTCAGTACCTGAGGTTTTACTCTGACTTTTACATTAAATGTACCTTCTTTCTGTAAGAATATTAGAACTGTGCTGTTACTTTAATCCATGTACCTAAGCACTCTTATGTTCAACTAATGGCTGGAGAAAAGGAATGATACAAAACTTAGCCCATGTATATAAATAATATACAATTTTTAGAATGTTTTTATGTGCTACTTTGAAACGAGTTAAAAATATAGGATTGTGATGTGTTTATTTGATAATTCATAGAATTTAAAAGCTTTGAAGGATATAATAATTTTATTTTATCCTTTCATTAGATAATAGTCGAAAAAGTCCAAAATCCTACCTTGAAATCCTGGCAGAGGTAAGAGATTATAAAAGAAGACGCCAGTCCTATAGAGCTAAGAATGTTCACATAACCAAGAAATCATATACTGAGGTAAGTTTTACATCATCTTTGTTGATAACAAAAATTTCCTTTTGGTAATTTTCTAAATCTGTTCTATGAATTTCCACAATTTTTTGGAAATTTTCTGAAAGTGTCTTCAGGGTGGCCACACCTGATTTGTATCTGTTCCATCAGTTCTAGACCCACCCTTTAGCAAGCAAAGGCTTTCATAGTACAAGAACCTTATATAAAACAATTGTACAATCTTAAAAGGTATCTCCTTGTGAGAAAATAGTAGTGTATCATGGTAAGAGCATGAGTTTGGGCTTTAGGTAGACCTCACATTGAGTTTTGATTCTGCTATTTCTCATTGGCTCTTTGACTTGAGCAAGTTATTTGAGATTTTTAGATTGAATGTTTTCTTTTCGTAATAAGAATATAATCTTTGCAGGGTTGTTATGAGAATTGACTGACAATGCATGCAAACACAAATTTCTTCCTGGATATTAGTTATCTTTTTTGGCAGAAAGCATGTTTTTATGTACTCTAGTAAATAGTTGGGCTTAAGAAATGTGTTGATATACATTATTTATACATTTGTCTCTTAGTGTATATCTAGACTTATTTTCAGATGCCATTTTATGGCTCATTAGAGTTGATGGTGTATGAATTACCTTGCCCAGACTCTACAAATAATTTCCTCATCAATTCCCTAATTGTTCCCATATTTTTTCTTCTCTCTGATGTAAAAGACCTTCCATAATTTGGCCTCCTTTTCCCAAGCATTTTCTTTTGCTTTAGTCAAGCATGTCTCTTAAACTGTATCTGATTGCATATAATTATTCTTACCTCCATGCCCTAGTACCTGTTATTTTCTTACCTGAAATGCTCTGTTTTTGCCATTTTAACTGTTGAGTTTAAAGGCCACCATTGCTATGAGGTGCTAGTTGACTAATCTATCACTAGTTTATTGTACTTATACTCTGTACCACACAGCTTAACTCTAAATTTTATGCTGTTCTTTTTTACAATTAAAGTCTGTGTTTTAGGCTGACCTTCCCAAGTAGAGGCCTGGGTCCCTGTCATACTACCTTGGTGATTCTTACAGTCCCTAAGATACTTGGCTCATCAGTTGTTTCTTCTCTGGTCTCATAACCCTTGTAATCAAGCTTAAATTGTTGCTGCTAGCATTCTTCACAATTTTATAGTTTATATTTTATTGTGAAAATATTCAAACATATACTAAAGTGGATAGCATCGTCTAAGGAACCCTTATGTACCCATCACCCAGCTTCAAAAATTGAAATATAAGATTGGCAAGGGCTTCATAGAGAATGTAGCATTTGAGTGAAAGGGAGAAGCAAGGAGGAGTAAAGGAATGTCTGCTTATTGACTCTTTCGTATGTGATGGACCTGAGCCGGGTGGGTTCTGTGCAAATAGCAGACTTCAAGGCACTTATGTAGAGCTGCTGACAGGGAGGCTTGTAGGCCTGCTAGGGAAGTGCAAGAGCTGGAACTGGAGATAGGTGGGTGTGACTCATGTCACTCCGCTAGGTTTGACCTTGGTGTATCTTAGGTTTTCCATGGGAGAATATAGTGGAGGAGGAGAAATGGTGGATAAGGATTTTCTGGGTAGAAGAACTAGCATTCTGAAAAGCAGATAAAAGTTTAGGAGTTTTTCAGAAACTCATTAGTAACGCAGGGTGGCTAGAGCTTAGGGCTTCTCCATTGAGAGATGAGGCTAGGTTGTATCTGATGTAGTAAAATCCTGGAGGGCTTTGAAGGCTTCATTAAGGAGTTTGGATATTGTTCCATTTTACTTTGAGAGCCATTGAAAGTTTCTTTAAGGTAGGGAGAAATGCAGTCAGGCCTGAATGATAGTGTTTCTGAGATTGCCTCTTGTCCCCTATACCTTTTTTCTGAAAACATTTTCTGTTTAATCATGAGGGAAGTGTAAGCTCCTATTTTCGTTTTGTCTTTGCTTCTGCAGTGACTAACCCTGTGCTTGGTGGCATGGGTAAATAGGAAAGTTTCCTTGTAGAGTCATTCAGAAAGTATCTGTGAAGTGGCTGTATGTTTCATATCTTGTCTTAAGTCATATGATTAAGTCAAGATGACTTAATTATAAGGTTTTTAAAAAATCATTTGTAAATAATCTCTAACAGAGAGATAAATTGCAAAACTAAAAATAGTACCAAGAACTCCCGTATTGCCTTTACCCAGGTTACCCATTGTTAGCATTTTGCCACATAGCTTATCATTGGCACTCTCTCTTTCTCTGTCTCGATCTGTACATATTGTTTTCCCCTGAATTATTTAAGGGTTAAATTACATATATCATAACCCTTTATCCCCGGTGTGTATTTTGTAAGAACAGAGTTATTTTCTCGCATAAAGGTAGTACAGTTTTAGCAACTTCAAATTTAATATTGCTATAAAACTTTTATCTGCTATTCATATTCCAGTTTGACCATTGCCTTTTCTGTGTTCTCTAAACTACACAAGTCCCACAGTCCATTAGTCATAGCGCTTAGTAAATATTTGATTGTTAGCACTGATTTTTCTAGCACTATAGTCTTAATTTTTTGAGCAGTTTTCTTACCTGAAGTTCGGTGCTTACCTCTCCCAAGGTGATTCGAGATGTGATAAATGTGCACATGGAAGAACTCAGCAATCACTGGCAAGAAGAACAAGAGAAGGCAGAGGATGATGCTGAAAAGTACGTCGTTATCTTTATTGGTGAAAGTACTCTCTTTGATAACAGATAACAATTAACTTATAATTGTTAAATTTTCGCATCTCCAAAACCCTTGATAGCACATAATATCCTCATGAAAATGCTTTTTGTTTTTTGTTATCGGTGCCCAGAGTTATTATACCAGAGTTGTTCTGACATTACCCTTTGACAGTTTTCAGGGGACAACCATATTAGTGAAATATTTAAATAGCAAAACATACTAATATTTATGCCTAGTGTTCCATTATTGGAACGCCAAACCTGTGGGAATTATTTATATCCTACTGCCCACCAAGATCTCATTGCAAAAATTTAAAAAATTGCAACCTCAGGCATAAAAGGGTTAAGAGCTCTGTTTATTTGTTGTCTTATATGGGTTATAAGATTGTGTGTATTGAGACCATATCTACCATTGGGTTGATATAGAATATTACACTTTAGACTGGTGTGTCTGTGTATGTATACTGGAGACCAGTGGTAAAACAAACTGATTAATATTCTTTTCTATGTTTTAGGAATGAAGAAAGGCGATCAGCTTCAGTAGATTCACGGCAGTCTGGTGGAAGCTATTTGGATGCTGAGTGTTCACGACATAGAAGGGACCGGAGTAGAAGCCCACATAAAAGAAAACGAAATAAAGATAAGGATAAAAACTGTGAGTCGAGAAGAAGGAAAGAGAGGTGGGTCTAACCCTGCATCATCCAACATTGAATTCTCTACTTTTTAAAAAGTAGAACAGGTTCTTCTGTTGTAGACCATGCTGAGAAAATAGATTTTAAGAATAAGCTAAAGTAAGGAGAGTAAACAATTGATTATGATTCTTAACATTCATTATAGTTCAGTTCAAATAGCCACCACTCTAGTGACATAGTTCTCTACATGTGTGATTGGATATTTTTTTTCCCTTTTTTATCTCTTGCTTGCTTCCTAAACAGGACATATGAAAGTATTGTCTAGGCAGGATGTTAACTGTATTAAACACGTGCTTTCCTAGATCTCTTTCTTTTGCTCCTTCCTTCCTTCCTCTTTCTCTTATTCTTTCTTTCTTTTTCCTGCTAATTCCTCAAATAAGGGTATATTGACATTGTCAAAATTGACAGTCAATTTTGCCCTTGTTAGTAAAATTTTTATAGCTCAAGAGATATGAATTAACACTGAATTAATAAATGTAAATCATTTGCGGTCTATTTCTGTATTCCAGCTGCTTACAATGTACCTGGATCTCAAGTTCATCAGGTCTAGAACTAAACTTACCTTTTTCTCAGTCTGCTCCTTTTTCCTCAGCATTACTATCCTGGTTAAAGAGAGGACTCTCATCTATTAAGTCAGAAATCAAGGAGTCATTTTAGATACTTCCTTCCACTCCTTACCATCTGGTCAGTTCCTAATGAAATGATGGTCATTTTCTTACTTTTTCTACTTTTCTCTAAACTTACTGCATATGTTTGCATCCCTTGTGTACTGCTTAGAGTGAATAGTCACCTCATAGAACTCTTCAGTGGTGGTCTGGCATGGTGGCTCATGCCTGTAACCCCTAAACTTTGGGAGGCTGAGGCAGGTGGATCACTTGAGCTCAGGAGTTCAAGGCCAGCCCGGGCAACCTGGCAAAACCTCATCTCTACAAAGAATACAAAGATTAGCCGGTCCCAGCCTCTTGTGGGGCTGAGGCAGGAAGATTGCTTGAGCCTGGGAGGTTGAGGCTACAGTGAGCCGTGTTCTCACTCCTGCACTCCAGCCTGGGCAACAAAGTGAGACCCTGTCTCAAAAAAAGTGAGAACTCTTCAGTGGCAAATTTCACATTCTTTTGAATGGCTCTCAAGACTTCTGGGATCCTGGCTCCTACCTACTTCTTGTATTTTGCTACTACCCCATGAAATGCATAACTTGTGCTCTAGCCAGCCTGAGTTACTTAAGAGTTCCTCATCCACACCGTGCCACTTTGTGTTCTGCTGCCTACCTGGTTTTCAAAGCCTCCTTACTCCTTATCCTTTAAGACCTATCTCAGCCATTTCCTGAAGCCTTTTTCTCACTGGTTCAAGAAGAGCAGATCATCTTTTCCATTTTGTCACCACCTTACCTAGCTCATATTTGTTCTTGAGCTTAATAGTTATTATTATCGCTGCTAGACTGTGAGCTCCATAAAGGCAAGGTCTGTATCTTATTTAGTTTTATATACAAAGTGCTTTCAAATATTAGGCTCTCAAATAATATCCTGTCTCTCCAGGGCCACTGGTAATCAGGAATTAAAGCTTATTGTATTGGTTTGGTAATTTTGTTCATTTTACTATCATTCAGTTAATTAGGTTTAAAGCCAACTATGACTTAGTCCTTTTTTTTTTTTTTTTTTTAACTTAGTCCTTTTCTTATACAAATGAAATATTTGCTTAGTAATCCTTTTTGATTCATATGCTGTTTTGTAATAACTATAGTGCTGCTTCTACTTAAGTAATTTTGACATCTCTAATCAATCCCTGTTGACTTAAATACATTAGAAGTCCTCAAAATCCAAACATTAAATAATTTTTATTTAAAGAAGATAAACTGGATATAAGCAAGAAATACTTCTCAACAGGCTAATCTTTGATATCCACCCCTGGGGTGGACTGAATTATAGGGACTTGGTTTATCTGACATAAACCAGAACAAGTAAAACATTCATTTAGAATTAAACAGTGTTTTGTTTTTTTTTTTAAAGAGTATGTATGAAAAATGCATTATTAGAACTAAGAGACAGGCCGGGCGCGGTGGCTCATGCCTGTAATCCCAGCACTTTGGAGGCTGAGGTGGGCAGATCACCTGAGGTCAGGAGTTCGAGACCAGCCTGATCAACATGGCTAAACCGTGTCTCTACTAAAAATACAAAAAATAGCCGGGCGTGTTGGTGCGCACCTGAAATCCCAGCTACTAGGGAGGCTGAGACAGGAGAATCACTTGAATCTGGGAGACGGAGGTTGCAGTGAGCCGAGACTGTGCCATTGTGCTCCAGCCTGGGCAACAAGAGTGAAACTCCATCTCAAGAAAACAAAAACAAACAAAAAAACGAAGAGACAAAACTGAAATAGGAATAATCAAAATGATTTTTTTAAATTACACTTTGAAGTTCTGCTTTAAAATTAACTTTGAGTATATGTAAATGATAGATACTCAGAAGATTCATTTCAATAGAATATTAAAGTAGTATATTACTGTTGAATTATTTTAAAGCTCTGATATTAAAATGTCCATTTATAACCATTTTTTTTATACCTCTTTTATTTCAGGGATGGAGAAAGACACCATAGTCATAAAAGAAGAAAGCAAAAAATATAAATGAAGTACTTGTACATGTATTAATTATGCTTATGCCATGGTAACCAATATGCTGATATATTAATTGGAATTGCTTTGCATAGGAGAATGTTTTTATGATCTGTTTAGTGCTTATTATTTTCCAGTAAATATGCTTCAAACCATGAGTACACTATTAGGCCCTACAACTTTGTTTTCCTTATATTTTATTAGATGATTTGCTTCCTATAACTGATCTTGTTTTGTTCTTTTTGCTAATATTTGTATCTCAAAATTCTTTAATTAAAAAAGTCAATATTTATCATATGTAAATTAAATGTGAATACATTCTCATTGCAAAAAAACTACATCTTATAAATAAGGCTAACCCTTAGAACACCATCTGCAGTCCTGTCCTCACCCCAGCAGCGACTTCTGTTTACCACTACGCTGGTGAATTGTAGTAGGGACAAACAATGTAAATATTGAAGAGAAATGGCCTGACTAATTAAAATATGATGTAGTCATGGAGGATAGATTATTGTATTGGAGTTAAAGAATCTAGATCCATATTAACCTGGATTGGTCTCAAAAACATAATGCTCAGTGAAAATAGCAAGTTGTGGAAAGTGATATACAAATTATATATATGTACAAAACAATACTATGCATTTTCTATGGCTATATAATGTAGGTAAGTCTATTTTTAAAGGTTCAGAAGAATCCATACCAAAGTTCTAACAGCGAGTAGGGGTATAGATGAGAGATTAGAGGTGCAAATCAGGATTGGGAGGGTGGTCAAAGGGAACTTTAGCTTTATCCATAACACATTTTTTTTTTTTAAATAAGGTATTCATGTTTCATTTAATTTAAAATATACTGTCATGTTGTGTTTTATAAATCAACTGAATTGAGGTACTATTTACATTTAATTGCACCCTTTTTAAGTGTGTATTTTATTGGGTTTTGACAGATTCATATCTCTGTGCAACCACCATCACAATCAAAATACAAATATTTTCATTACCCCCAAAATTCTCATACCCCTTTTCCCAATCAATTCCTCTACCCCTAGCCCTAGGCAGCCACACATCTGCTTTTGGTTACCATTGATTAGATTTATCCTTCGTAGAATTCATGTAAATGGAATACTGCAGTATGTACCCTGCCTTCTTCCACACTACAGATTTTTGAGATTGATCCCTGTGCGTCAGTTGTCCCATTTTTTTTTGGTTACTGAGTAGTATGTTCTATTGTATGTCAGATCATTCAGGTGAGACTTCGGCGTGAAATGTTAAGCATCTGACATCTAAATAGCAATATTTTGAATATTGGAAACTCAGGTTAAAGATTTTGTTTCCAAGTAGAAATGAAATCTTATTGTTTTAATAAGTAGCTGACAGTGACAGAAAGATTGACTGGATTTGGATCAGATTGGCTGTTAGGCTTCAGGTATGGGAAACAACTCTCAGATTTATAAATTGGAAATCACCAGGTTACTTGCCAATATATAGTCATATTGCTGCCATTCTACTTAATTTCTAAATATATAAAATCCACTTTTAAAAATTGTAAAAGCAAGGACTCAGGAGTGACTAATGAATCATGAAATTGCTGCTTTTATAGATCAAAACTACTTGAATCATCAGGAATTGTTTCATATTGTGTGAAAATTTATAATTTTGTTTTAAATTATGATTTCATTTTACTAACTGGAAGAAACAGAAGAGTAAAATTGGCATATTTAGGTTTTTTGTAGAAGAAAGATGTGAAAATTAGAAGTGGATTGGAGAAATTGGGGGAAAATAGAACAGTACGGAGAAAGGAAGAGATTGAAAATGTAACCGAAGTTCTTTAAAGCTCACATTTTATAGTATCACTGCTGCAAACTAATAAAATGTGGCATTGAATGAAAAGAGGCATTTGTTTGATCCTTGAACGAATTAATCTTACATACTTCCCTGTTTGTGTTTTGAACCTTTCGCTGGATATGAGCCACTTGAGAGCAGGGTTTGCACCTTCATCAGTGTGACCCCTGTGCCTGCAACCTCATAGTTGTTAATATGTAATTTCAAATTTTGACAAAAGCATTTTCACTGCCCTGTCACATAAAATCTAGGTTTTATTTCTAGAGTGCTGCTATGAATACTATAGCTGCTGCCCATCTTGCCCATCCATTAAGGTACCTTCTCACAAACATTTCTAATCTGCTGACTGGAGTGCATTGGTGTAGTCCGTAGCTCACTGCAACCTCAAACTCATAGGCTCAGGCGATTGTCTTGCCCTGGCTCCCCATGTAGCTGGAACTATAGGTGTGCGCCACTACACCTGGCTAATTTTTTGATTTTTTTAGAGATGGAGTCTTGCTATGTTGCCTAGGCTGGTCTTGAATTCCTGGGCTCAGATGATCCTCCTGTCCTCAGCTTCCCAAAATGCTGGGAGCCACCAGGCATCAGGCGCGAGCTACCACACCTGTCTAAAAAGTATATATTTTTAAATTTTTTTGTGGAGACAGGATCTCACTATGTTCCCCAGCTGGTCTCAAGCTCCTGGCCTCAGCCTCCTAAAGTGCTGGGATTACAAGTGTGCGCCACTGTGCCTGGTCACTTTAATTGCAATACTGACAAGTCAACTGCCATGCAGAGCCCAGGGCACTGGTTATATTCAATAAGAAACTGAACTCAGCACTTAGAATTTTAAATTATATCAATGATCTTAAAGTATTTGCCACTTTTGAGTACAGCTAACTGGATAATCTCAAATCAAACCCTTCAGTGAAAATTCATTGTCAAGTGGTAAATTCGAGATAAAATATTTTAAATGCATTGAGAAATATTTTCTAATTACCTGTGTATGCTATAGTACAGATATTAATTCTATAAACCTGTTCATAGGTCTTCCTCCCGGTCTTCTGAGGACATTTTCTGTTCCTTTTTAGTGAGCTCATGAATGTCTAAGGGTTCTTGTGCAAAGCTTTGTTGCATTCTAAGTATAAAAAAAAAAAACCCACTTACATTGCTTGAGTTTGTTTACAAGACACATATGTAGCTTGCTTTTTCATTTGCTATAATTGATCCTGCAGGTGTGTTAATTATAAACTAATGCTCTTTTAAACCACACTTATTTTATTACATTAGTGATTGTGCTTCCTGCTGTGGTCACAGATTTGGGAGGTTTTGGTGTTACAGAAAGTGCTCATAGCTTTTATATATTTGGACTGGGACCAGTAATTTCTAGAGCTCCCTTCAGGAAAGAAAAAATAAGATTTGCTAGATGTAAGGAACTCTGAGCTAGATTCATCTTTATTGAATAAGCCAAGTCACTTTCCCATTCTAAAAACAAGTAAGTCTACCTAAGAAAAAACAGGCTGCCTTAAAATAGAATATAAATTCCTAAGCTAGTTTTTAGTCCTTTGTTTGAGTATTATAAAGCAGGGGGCACTTCCAGTTTACAATGTTGCTACATACTCCATTGGGAGAATGGTAAATGAAGAAAGGCTGCAGGCTCCAGGGAGTCCTGCCTTAGGAGTTTCACATCTTGTGGCACCAATGAAGGGATCTGGGTTTGAGTAACTTGAGTACTCTTTATGAGGCTAATTTCCCGTGAGAGTGGAGCTTTAGTAACCCGTGTTCCTCCAGCTGTAAGCCGTGACTCCTAGTCTAGAATGAGGAGGGTCATTAAGGGAGCATCAGGAATACAGAGATGAAGCAGGAGCCTGGGCTTTGTTTGGTAATGCCGACACAATTACAAAAAATAATGTAATAAATTCTTCTCATACTGACAGAATATCTGATCAAAGAGGGCAGTAAGATGCGTCAGGTACAATACAGGCTGTGTAACCCTGGGCCGACTCTGAGTCTCTCCATGCCTTCTCCATACTGTACATCCTCAGAGGATTGTCAGGCTTAATGTGATCTGGCCCATGCGGTGTCTGACATATGGCAGGTACTGAATGCCCACTGTTGTTGTGCTTTGTAACACAGGTGTGAGCTCTTTCTACTCTGGCTCCTGTGTCTGGTTTTGCTTATGGACCAACCTGGATATCTTATTGTGCCCTCAGAGAATTCTCTCACACAATAGTATTAGCAAATCAGTGAAGACTTCAAAAAGAAGTGTGTATAGGAGATGCTTCATGTTACCTACCTCTAGGGCATATATATATATAGCTGGTACACACATGAATCAACCAGTATTAAAATACTGAAATACTTCTAAACTTGCTGGGAAATAACTGTTGTTCAAAGCCCCACCTTCCCTTTCGTGCTTTGTCCTGGAAATTCTTGACCGTCTCCTAGACAGCACCATGATCCAACAACAACAAAAATAAATAGAGAAAAGCCAGTGCCTGAAGCAGGTGGGGGCCTTGGAGCACCCTGTTCCAGGAATAAGGCTAATTGGTGGCTGTTCTGATTGATGACAGTGCAGTCAGCATCTCTCCTAAATAATGATGCATATGAATGACATGGGACATATTCTATTTCTCACTTTGCCCTATACACAGTGGGCCCTGTGTGCAAGGTGCTGTATTGTGTGGATACTAAGCATGGACATAGTTACACACACTTGAATCAGCCAACGCTGTCTGTCGACAATGTAGCACAGATTTTGGAAGGTGGAAGTGGAATCATGTTGTAAGGTTCTCATGCTGTACATGAAATGGTGTGTAACATTATTTGTAGATAGATTATGATAAGTTGAGTGTATATTGTAAATTGAGTGTATATTGAAATAAAGCAGAGAGGTATGGCTAATAAGTTATAATGGAGAGGAAATGAGATTATTAGAAACAGTCCAAAAGAAAACAGGAAACAAGGAAAAGGGGAACGAAAGAACAGATAAGACAAATAGAAAACAAATGGCAAGATAGATTTAAACCCACCCATCTTAACCACATTGAATGTTAAACATAGATATTCTGAACACTCCAATGTAAAGGCAGACCGAGTTATATGATGTCTACAAGGAACCCACGTTAAGTATAAGGACACAAATAGGTTAAAAGTAAAAGGATAGGAAATGGTATACTATGCTAATACTAATTGAAAGAAAGCTATATTACTATCAGACAAAGTAGACCAGAACAATGAATATTATCAGGGATAAAGAGGAACATTTTGAAATGACAACTAATTCATCAAGAAGACAAAATTCTAAATTTTTATGCACCTAAGAAGAGAGATTCAAAATATATGAAACAAATATTGGTAAGACTGAAGGGAAAAATAAGCAAATGTACAGTTATAGGTGAAGATTTCAACACTCTTCCCTCGGTCATTCATAGCATAAGTAGACAGGGATACCAGTAAATAAATAGAGGCCTTGAACAACACTATCAACCAGGTTGACTTCACTGGCATTTATGAATACTTCACCCAATAACTAGCAGAATACATTTTTTCTAAATGCACTTGTCTGTGCATACCCCTTTTGCACTTCAGCTGAGGGACCCTGGAAAGCAGCCTACTCAGGACTTTATACCCCAGGCATCACATAGCATGCTGGGCTAAAGTGTTGAAGGATGTCCTGTTTCTAGGGAGGGCAATGGAACACAACGTGGGCTGTTCTGGCCATCCCCATCTTATCTTAGGATGTTGCATTTCTGGCACATTCCACAGGTACTTTTGAGAACTGGAAGCACAAAAGGTGGGAGAATTATCCACACATATATTGAGAAGACTGAAATACAAAGTATGTACTCTGACCATAACAGAAGTAAACTAGAAATCGATAACAGAAGGAAATCTGGAAAGTCCTCAAATGCTTGGAAATTAAACAGTATGCATCTAAATAATGCATGGGTCAAAAATAAATCATATGGTCAAGCAGGAAATATTTTTATGGAAAACATCAAAAATTGTGGGATACAGCTAAAGCAGTGCTTAGAGAGAAATTTATGGCATGAAATGCTTTTTGTTAGACAGAAAGGTCTCAAATTAATAATTTACATTTCCACTCTAAGACATTAGAAAAGAAGACTGAATTAAGACCAAATCAAGTAGAGGGAAGTCTTATTAGAAGTCTCCAGAGAAACAGAACCAATAGGATAGGGTCATGCAATTATGGAAGCTGGCAACTCCCAAGATCTGCAGGACGTATTGCCAAGCTGGAGACCCAGGAGGGCTGATAGCATAGTTCCCGTCTGAGTCAGAAGGCCTGAGCCCCTGGAGAGCTCATGGGGTAGCTGCAGTCCAAAGGCTGGCAGGCTCAAGACCCAGGAAGAGCCGATGTTTCAGTTGGTGTCCAAAGGCAAGAAAAAGCTGACACCCTAGTTCGAAGGCCATCAGGGAGAAATCATTCTCTTACTTGGGAGAGTGGTCAGCGTTTTTGTTCTATTCAGACCTTCAACTGATTGGAGGGACCCACCCACATTAGAGAGGGCAATCTGCTTTACTCAGTCTGTGGATTCAAATGTTAATTTTATCCAAAAATACCCTCACAGACTCAGCCAGAATAGTGATTGACCAAATATCTGGACACCCCAATGCCCAGTCAAGTTGACACATAAAATTAACCATCACAGAAATAAATAATAACAAATAACAAAAGAAACAATAATAAAAGGAACAATAACAGAAGAAACAGAAATAAGTGAAATCGAAAACTGAGAAACAGAGAAAAGAAGTGAAACCAAAAATTGGTTCTTTGAAAAGATCAATAAAATGGATAAGCCTCTAAGTAGATGGATCTAGCCAGACCATAGCCAGAAAAAAGGAAAAAAAAAAGGAGACAAAAATTACTGATATCAAGAATGAACATGGGGACATTGTTATATAGTCTATGGACTTTAAAATGATTAAAAATATTATGAATGACATTATACTAACATATTCAACAACTTAGATAAAATGAATTCCTTGAAAGACACAAATTACCTAAACTTACTCAAGATGAAACAGATAACTTCAAATAGTTCTAT